CTTAACGCAGAGAAACTAAAGCAGATACCTTAAAAGCAACTGAGGCCAATAGGAAAAGGGAACCAGGAACTAGAGAAAAGGTTAGATCAAAAAGAATTAACCTAGAAGGTTCACATGCACAGGAAATCAATGTGAGTCAACTCCCTGTATAGCTATCCTTATCTCAACTAGCAAAAACCCTTGTTCCTTCCTATTATTGCTTATACTCTCTCTACAACAAAATCAGAGATAAGGGTAAGATAGTTTCTGCTGGGTATTGAGGGGGTGGGGGGAGAGGGAGGGGGCGGAGTGGGTGGTAAGGGAGGGGGTGGGGGCAGGGGGGAGAAATGACCCAAGCCTTGTATGCACATATGAATAATAAAATAAAATAAATAAATAAATAAATAAAATAAAATCCTTCTGGATCAAGAGTCCCATTTCCCTGCTGAGAAGTAGCTTACCCTCACTCAAAAGAGGTTCACACCAGTCGCAGGTTCTAAGGGTGGGCATATGGCCTACTTCTGGCCCATGAGAGTCCTGTACAACTTAATAACTCAGATTCACACCATTCACTTTGCCATACACTGAAAGAAGCACTTCAGGCTGCTAGGCCAGTATGATTAAGCATGCCCAGATCTGAGGGCCATCTGACACCCAAAGGAGCAAACCTATCTTTAAAAATAAGGAAATCAGAAGCAAGAAATAGAGATCCCCCAACTTTTGAGCACCTACCTCTAGTAGTGCCTAAAGCCAATTATACCCCTCTCCAATTATAAGCCTCTCTGTTATATGAACTTACAAAATCCCTTTTGTGCTACTTAGTTTGAGTCACATTCTGACACTGTCAATCAAAAATCTTGACTGATTTAGCACAAAAGTACTTCTGCCACTTACGGGTAAGGAAACTGAGGTTCAATAACTTACCTGAGGACTCCCAGAAGTGAGGATGCACTGGCTCTCATTCCCATTCTCCTCCTCACCCTATCCCCCAACACACACACGCTACACTTTTCTGACTTCAAAACATTTTGTACACTAATAAAGTCCTTGACACTTTAAGAAACTTCCATGTAGCATCTCACTTTCCATCCTGGGTCAGTGGCAAATGCTGGTTCCCTTAAGCTTATAGGGCACCATCCCACCCCTATGAGATACAAACAAAACTCACTCCTCTGCCACATCTTCCTCCTCTTCACCTGGGTTGAATGACTCATCTGAAAATGAACACAGGGTGTATCAACTTTTGACCTAATGGAAATCCCACTCCGTACCCAGGTATTCAGCTCTGGCCCCAGGAGAAGTCTAGCCCAGGCTACAGGAGGAGAGTCTGCCTGCCCCTGTTCCCCAGCACTGAGGCCAACCCACCAGTTTCTTCTCCTGAGTCATCACTGCTGTCATTGGCATTCTCTTCTCGGATCTTGCCCTCCTCCTTCATCCTCTCCAAATAGGCATCATGCTGGTCTTCATCAGAGTCGGCATATTCATCATAGCTTGGATTCATGCCCTAGCCAGGGAAGAGATGGAGGTGAGAGCCATCGCCCTCAAGCCTGAATCCCTGCATTCTCCAAAGCACTACCCCATGCCTGTGAAATCAGAGCAGCAGCTCCCAGAAGATTCTGGGGCCAGATTGTCCACACACAGCCCATGTGCAGGGCCTACACCCAGGTGCTTCCTGCCAGACTGGGTTAGTCCAAGCCCCTCCCTCTCCTGGCCCACAGAGGGCTCCTAAGTGGCTGCACAGACTGATCTAAAGCCATGCAGAGAAAACCTGCACCAGGAGGGGGAAAGGGTCACACGCACCTCTTTTTTCTATAAGGGTAAGAAGAGAAGAGAGAGTGAAAAAGAAGCCAGAAAACCTCTGCTCTTTTCTCCCCTACAGAAAGAACAGGAGAGAGGTTCATCCTCCCCACACAGAGATACCTCTTTCAATCCTCGGTTTTTGATGTTGAGCTTTTTTGCATTGACAAAATCAAACAGCTTTCCATACTCCTCCCTGTGAGAGGAGACACACAGTGTTACCAGATGATCAGGAACAAGTCAGGATGGTCTAAACAATGTTCTGATACCCATGGGCCAGGACAGATGGTGGAAATGGAGTCTTGGCCACACTATCCAACCCAACAGTTCAGAGACCCCAGAGGACAGCAGTAAGGAAGGTCAGACATTGGTCCTGAAAGAGGAACGTGCATGGCAGGGAAAGGTGCACCTATTTACCAAATATGCACAGAACATGGTGAGTGCTGGGGCAGAGGGATGCTTCCGTGTTTTTTTACTGGTCTGTATTTCATACTTCACAGGGTTGTTATGAGGCTTAAACACGAAAACGTATTTAGCCCACACTGAGCTAAATAACTCAATAAACTCAGTAACATTAGCTGCTATGTCCTTGGGCACAAAGCTTATTCCAGGAAAAGAAAGAGATAGCATTTCCACCATGGGGTGGAGGGAGTAAAGGGAGAAGAAAAAGGGCTAGTACCAACACACACATCTTTCATAATACAGAAAATAACTTTTCAAAGAACAGATAAAGTGATGAAGAGACTTCCAAAGTCAGTAATCAAAAGACAGAATCCCAATGAAACAATAGAAAAAAATCTACTCAAAGATGGGAAAGTCACAGGCCATGCCAGGCTTCCCAGGAGGTAACAGAGGGAGGCTCACCTCTCAATGCTGCTGAATGTATACTGAGTACCCTGCTTGGTCTCAATTTCAAAGTCAAAGGATCGAGTGGTAGTGGTACCACGGGCAAAGTTGACAAAGGAGATCTCATCAAAGCGGATGTGCACTGGTGGCTTGTGGACATAGATGAAGCCCCGCTCCAATGGGTACAGCAGCCCTGAGCTCGCCTTATAGGAGCAGGTGATACACTGGGCCCCTGAGTGCCTGATGGAGGGAGCAGAGTCTGATCAGTGCCAACCTCATAGCAGAGCCAAAGAGCACATCTAGCAGCAGTAACATATGCTCAGGCCCACCGCTGAGTAAATCTCTCAAAGCTGCTCTGACAGAGGTGCTGACAACCATCATAACACAGGGTCCTATACCAGCTTCTATGAACTATGAGTTTGCATTCCCTTCTCGGGAGGGGTCTACCAAGGGGACACAGAATTTCCCACCCCCATCTCCAGGCAGGACCCCACACCTGTACCCTCACCCCTGGAAGTTGCCTGGGACTGTGATCTTGCGGTTCACAAGTGCTTTCATGACCCGGCTGACCATCTCGTAAAGGGATCCTGACATGTTTTTGGTGAGCCGACCCTCAAAGCGCTTCTCCACCTCTTCCCTGCAAACAAAGCAAATGAGGTCATAAGCACACCTATCTCCTGCCTGGGCAGCAGCAGAAGAGTCCAGAGACACACTCACTCATTCATGTTGAGGGTTAAGGTGATGTCCTCATCCTTGGAGAAGAGGAGAATCAGGAAGTGGTAACGGGTTTGGCCCTGCTTAATGGGGGGATCCAAGCTGATCTGGTAAGGACAAGTGGACAAAGTTTAGTATCAGTTGATGCTTCACAGTACAGAACTCTGAACACCGGTGAGATCTATTTACTGGAGACTCAGGCAAAATCCAGGATAATCTACACCAAGGGGTTTCTGCTTACCACAAAAAACATTTGACGCTGGTCCTTGTGAGGCAGCAAAAAGAGACGCAGTACTGTGGTATAGGGAATCTTGTAGTCAAAGGTCTTGCCATGCAGGTGGAGAAAGGTAGGGTAGATCCGAATGTCATAACGACCACGGGGAGTCAGACACTGCAGCTCCCGGAAGATGCAGATGGCATCTCCAGTGGCCTGAATTACATCTGCCTTCGACAGCACATTCTGGGCAAAGGCCTGCAAAAGTACACACTGATAATTAGGCTCCAGATCCGTGGTCAGACAACCAAGGCTTACTCAGCATTATCTGCTCCCATGCAACTAGAGAAGGCCTCACCTCAACAGGATCCACACCATCCTCCTGGGTGGGAGGGACATAGAAGCGCACCTCCATGAGAGACACTTCTGCATCATCATTCTGGTGGAATTCCAGTGTCACTTCATTCTTGCCTGTGGTACACTGGGACACATTGCTTAGGGGTATCTCGAAGACTGGCTGGTCACCAATGTCAAAAGAAAGCAGCTGCCCTGTGAGGAAAGAGCTTATCAAGCCTCAAGCTTGGGTCTACAAAAACGTTTCAACCAAACTGTAGGTTCCATGAGAACAGGGTACTGGAACTATTAAGTTCACACTGTACCCCCAAGATCAGACACAGAGTCTGCTACACCACAGGTGCTTGATAAATGCATGATGAACACACAAACTGTTCTGAAATCAGAGACAGTGCCAGAGAGAAGAGAACAAAGCAAATTAAAAGCTAAAACCCTTCATCCCACCTTCTCCCCCAAACCTCAATTTTCCCAAGACTCACCACCAAACTTCACTGTACCCCAGTTCCATCCCTTCACACATAGGTCCTTTTCCATTAGCTCAAGACGATAGTGAGTTTTAAAGAAATCAGAGAGTTTCTCAAACTCCTATGGGTAGAAGGAGGAAAGTATAATCCCAGTAAACCCTGGTGACCTTAACAAAACTTAAAGGTCCTAAATAACCTATTTCAGAAAAACTGCCCCAATGTATCCTTTCTCAAAAATCCACAGTGATTTAGTGTATCAGCTCTAAAATTATTTAAAAAGTTACTGAAAAGAGGTTGTTTTTATGAACAGGGCCTCAGGCTAAGGAGGAGTAAAGGAAGGAACTGACACTCTCAGAAACAGGCCTCTTTTAAAAAAAAAAAAAAGTTTAAGCCAGGCACCAGTGGCTCACGCCACTCAGGAGGCAAAGATCAAGAGGATCAAGGTTCGAAGCCCACCTGGGCAAATAGTTTGTGAGAACCTATCTCGAAAAAGACCCTTCACAAAAAAGGGCTGCTGGAGTGGCTCAAGGTGTAGGCCCTGAGTTCAAACCCCAATACCACAAAAAAAAAAAAAAAAAAAAAGTTTAAGCCAACTTAAACTTTATTATGTGTTGTTTTGATGAGAGTGGAAATTAAAACCAAGTAGTCGTCAACTTAGTTCAAAATAGAAACACAAAATCTTAACTAGAGTACCAAGCCTATGATTCTGAACCCAGATCAAAGGAGAAACAACTATCTGAATTAAGATGGTAGAAAATCTTGTGGGGTCAAGACACAAAAAAACTTTGCACAAGGCTTCAGCACACAAAGCTGAATGTCATTCAATGATCTCAACAGCCCTGCTCTGAGGAGCCCAAACTAGCAATGACACGGTTATCAGAGGAAGGAACTCCACCTCTCTCTAGAAGATTAAAAATAAACAAGATGGCACAATAAAAAGGGGTGATATGACAACAGGAGGTCTCACCGATTCTCGGAAGCCATCATACTTGTAGACATGGCCATTCTTTGTGAGCAGTTTAAGTCCATGGCCCAGAGCGACACGGCGCCAGATGCCTTCTGTCAACTCCCCGGCCTGGATGTTGTCCACTTTGCCAGTCTTGCTGTTCTTGAAAATGATACCCTGGCGGCTCAACCGCAACCGACCATCATTCTGTCACAAAAATGGGCCCAGATGCAGGAGAAACAGTACATCACGTGTACTGAGTGCACTTCTACCTCACACCCATTCTGGCTGCTAAGGGGTTAGCCAGATTATCAATGCAGGAGCAACAGCTGAAGTGATGAGGGCCAGAAGGAGAGACAGGGCCAGGAAATCTGGACTCTAAACCTGGTTCTGGCATCCAGAATCCTTGTAGGTCCTCAGTTTCCTGGTATGTAACAGGGATTTGAAATTGAACGGTATATACAATCCCTTCAAACTCCAAGATCCTGTAATTCTTAGGACTGTTTCTCAGCACTGCCTTTTATTGGAGGAAACATCACATACGTTATCCTGAGTCTTCTTTTTCCAACATAGTAACATCATCAAAATTAAGCTTTTGCTAATGGACAAAACTCTGCTCTCTTTCCCTCTCTCCACCTGCATTAAAAGCCCAAGCTCTTCTCACCATGGAGCCTTTCACCTCCTGGTAGATATCGTTGAACTCCAGTGTCTCTGCCATGTTGACCTGCCGTGGAGGCCTGGGCACAGAGCCCTAGGCTGCACAAGAGAAACCGAATAATCTGAGACCTGGGCCCCAACTCTTGGGTGAATGTGCAGATGCTCAGCAGGGTAGGAATCTGAATTCAAGTGGAAGATAAATAAGCATGAAAGACACCCCCCCACACACACTCTGCTCACCAATGGAGCCAGGTGGCAACCCTTGGCTGTCTCAAGCTCTCTTCTGCCTGGGAACCTACAGAGAGCTTTGCAATGCTCCAAGAGACAGGCCCAGACCAGGCTAGTGAACCGGGCCTGAAGTAGCACTTACACCCCATCCCAACACCAGCTCCAGGCGCTCCACCCGGAGCCATGGCAACGAGCAGCAAAACCCCAGGGCCTGCTCAGAGCCCGCACCTCAACTCAGCTCAGCGTGCAGGGCTTCCCTCCCGGCGCTCCCACCACTCCGCGGCCCCAGACCCACGCCTCTCCCCTCCTCCTAAAATGGACTCGCCCGCTGCCCAAAGATTTGAACGCGGAACGGTCCATCTCCAGAGTCCCGTGGGGGAGCAGGGCCTGTGCTCTCCTGGGGTCCAGGGACCGCGACCACCCACCTCTTCAAGCTGCAGCCTCGCGACGGCCCCGGAGCGGGCGGTGGGCGACCTGGGGACCTAGGGGAGGGGGGCGGGGATGCAGGGTATGGGAAGTACGATGGGGATGGGACAGCTTTTCCCGCGTGCGCGGCCCCGCGTCCCGCCACCGGAAGTCGTGCACAAACCATAGAGAAAATGAGTGGGCTAGAGAGACGCGAGCCGGGCTGACAGACGAGACTGTCGCATAGAGCGTCGGCGACTGGACGACCTGAGGGGAGGGTGGTCGAAGTGAAGACCCTCCCAACTGGAATCTAAGGAAAGGGAGCGCTTAGGGCTCTTTAGAAAGTTACAGGCACTCTTTCAAGTGGAGGCTACTATCCAAAGAGAAGTGTAGTTTTATTTCCATCAGATTTTCTACAAGATTGTGTACTGGAATGATGCATGACCCTCCCTCCTACAAAAATCGCTTCCGTGGTGCCGAAAAAGGAGTCAGACAAGAAAAATATACAAGCTTTGTGACGAGAAATGCCTCTCCCACTAGCTGTGAAAGGAATGTGGTGTCTGTGACTGTCCTGCCTTCCAGCTGTATCCTGTCAAGTGGGTCTGGATCCTTTCTGAAATGAATTCGCCGTCTACACCCAACATCTTCCTATTGGTAACCGCAATTTATGGGTTCCCCACCCAGAAGAGGCTGGCAGATGGCCACATCAAGTTCAAGTGCTGGTGTCAGATTTACCTTGGAGCCAGAGCTGATTTGAAATCACGTTAGCCTGGAGGTGGCAGACACTTCCCATCCCCTCCCCCCTTCCCCCCCCCCCTTGGTTCATCTTGCAAAATAGAGCAGGCCAGGCCTGAAACAGATGTGTGAGTTCATCGTTCTTACCCCTTTTTTGCAAAGAGAAAACTGAGGCCCAAAAAGGAGTTGCCCAGGGTCTCAGTGAGTTGGCAACAAAGCTGGAAACTAGAACCCAGATACCCCAACGCCAATTCTATTCTCTTCTGACGTAATCACGATGATTCTGTGTTTAGAGTGATTCATAATATGTGTCCTATATAAAGAATATTTAAATTCACGATTTTTCTGGAAATCATGACACTGAGTTGCTAAGTCAGTTCTGGGATAGGAGACAAGTGGAATGCTTTGTTACCACCCTGAGTTATGGCCTTAGCCTCTGGGTTACAATAGTGCTGTTGATAGCACTACTAGCAATATAAATTCATCTGAACTTAATATGTATGTACTGAGGGCCTTTTATTAATCCAGCACACCTCTGAGATTTGATGAAACTGGTAAACACAATTAAGACAATCCCAGTCTTTCAGGAGCACATAATCTAACAAAAGGTTCAGATAACTAACCTGACAGTAAAAAAAGAGAGACTGTGACAACAGTATGCCACATGTAGAGCTCCAGCCATTGCCAACTGGAGTTAGAAATATGAGACTGCTGAGTGTGGTGGTACACACCTGTAAATCCCAGGACTCCAGAGGCAGAGGCAGGAGAATTGCAAGTTTGAGGCCATCCTTGAGAGAGAGAGAGAGAGAAAGAGAGATGACTTACCTCACCCCCCTCCCTGGAGACCAAGAAAAATGTTCAATTAGACCCCCTTCCCCAAATTCATGCACTAAGAGGCAACTCAGGTAGGAGAGGATGGCCCCAGAATTGGGTGGAATTAGGCAGACACTCACTCAGGAGGAGGGGGGTACTCAGTTCAGGCAGGTTATTAGGTGACTGGGGAAGGAGACATTGCAAGGGGCTTTAGGGAGAGCATGAAGCAGCTGGTGAGCTCGGCGGAGAATGCAGCATAAGAGAATGGAACAAAAACGTTAGACAGAGTGCAGATAAAACATGAGTCCCAGAGGGCCCTAGCCAGCTGCATCCCAGGCAATCAGGAGCCCAGGAATGGAGACCCCACCCCTGCTGTGACATCACAGGGGAGTGGGGTGGAGACGAATAAAAAAGGGGTCCCCCGCCCTGGCCCTGGACTGTTGGCTGCCCAGAGTGTCAAGAGAAGAGATAGCCTGGGTACTGGGCTAAGGTTGCCTGGCTAAAAAGAACAGGTTTCATTCCTCAAGCCCCTCTAAGCTGCCCCCTCCAAACCTTGATCTTTGTCTCCCTGCCCTCAGGTCCTCTCTCTCCTGAGGCTTCCATCAGGCCCCTTTTGTGTGGTCCCTGAGCATTCTCTCGGCATGAACTGCATATCCGACTTCTTCACCTATGAGACCACCAAGTCGGTGGTCGTGAAGAGCTGGACCATTGGGATCATCAACCGAGCAGTTCAGCTTCTGATCATCTCCTATTTTGTGGGGTGAGTCTGCGGCCCTATGGGTCCTAGGTTGGGAGAGCTACCTGGTGTCCTTCCTTGCCCCCTCCCTCAATGCTATCGGGCAACTTCCTGGGCTTCTCTCTTTTGGGAAACACTTTCTTCTGGGAGAGCCATGTCCTCAGGGCTGGTCTCTGCCAACACCCCCAACCCGGGATCTGGTCTGCAGGTGAATTCTTTTACCCAGTAAATCCTCCAGAGTTGGAAAGTGGTTTCTAGATATATGCTCCAAAGGATGGGGTCCTTGCCCCAGCATTGCCCTCCACCAAGGGAGGTGCCAGGTGATCCATCTTCCCCAACCAGAGAAGAGGCAGAATGCTCCCCACATCTTCCCATTCCCTTTGGTCAAGGCTTTGGGGTCCCAGAAAGACAAGGGAGCATAGAAAGGCAATACTGCCCCCATGGGGGTGGTGGCAGGCTGATTGGGTTGATATCAGATGGGAAGGAGAACTAGCTGGAGAAGGAAGGAGAGAATTGAATGTGATTTAGAATGAGGAATTCGATCCTGTCATGAATGAGATAGTGAGAGCTTGGAAAGTCAAGAAACCCCTGCTTGAAAGGTAGGATAAAGGAAGAAACTGTCCCTTGACATGGGGACAAACACTCGGGAAGAGTTTCTAAGGAGAAAAGTAGCTTTTGTGGCATAGTGTGGGGTCCTTCCCAAGAATGCAGAAATGCTGCCCTTTAACAAAAAAGTATAAATTCCTTACCTACCTGAGTCTGTGCTATAAAACTCATCCTAGGAGTTGCTTAAGGTCAGCAAGGTCCAAACACCCCTCTCAGCTCTCTCCTCTTAGAGGCACACACCCCTACACACAGACAACAAAGAAACATGAGCAGACAATGGATGGGGGGAAAACATGTTCTATCCTTCTTGTGGTCATTTCCATATACTGGTGGGCACTAGGAAATGCAGGCAGAAACCTCAAAGGTTCTCTTTCCTGGCGTGTGGTCTCCAGCTGTTCCTTGAGACAGTGGGTGTGTGTGAGAGAGAGACAGCAAGCCACTGACTAGGGCATGAATTAATTCAAGCAAGTCAAAGAAGACATCTGTGTGCATGAAGACTGGAGCTGAAGGACTGGCTTATTTATTGTATGATGGTATACATGGAAAGATGGGTTGATGTGATTTTTTTTTTCCTTTTTTTCTTGATGTGATTTTTTTAAAGCAATTTTTGCTTCATGGGTTTGGTGCAAGCCAGTAGACTTTGGTTTGTGGTTACTGTAACAAAGCTGTATATCCAGTGCTGCTTGTGGGATATCAGAGAAGGGGTTCAAGCTTTGGGGTAGGATTAAAGAGTCTTGATGTTTGACTCCAACATTGAGGTTTTGTGAGAAATGTTGTTTGCAATGGTTCTATATCTGCAACTTCAGAGCTTGACTTAAAGTTGATTCTTAAGCCTTCCATGTTCATGTGTGTATTCAATACCATGATTGTTTATAGCCACAGAATGGTGTATTGGTCCAAATTAGGGCAAAAGCTGTTTCAGCACATTCCCAACCTGGCCTGACTCCCTTGGCTCCAGGCAGGAGATTGACTGAAGACTGAGACAGCCAATTCCTAAATCGGCCCACTCAGCCCCCATTCCCCTTGTTTCTTCCTCATCACAATCAGATTGGATCCTACAGTGCTGGGGGTTGGAACCTAGCCTGCTCCAGGGAGTATGAGAGGCTCTTTGGCGTCTTGATATCTAACCCCATCCATCTCCCAGCCTGACAGCTCCCCAAGGAACAGTGCCTTGCAGTTACATCAGTGCACTTGGCAGCCTAGCCCCCTGGCCCAAGCCCATCTCTGTGTACAGGAGCCCATGAACTGCTGTGACTCCATGAATCCATTGTCATTCATTTATCAAAAATGTATTAAGTGTGTCTTCATACCAGGCATTGTGTACTGAGGAAAGAATGGTGGACAAAAGCAGACAGGGTCCTTCATACTCATAAAGCTTACAATGTAAGAAAAGAGGTGGACATTAATCCAATAATTCACACAAGCAAATGTGTAAAACTTCAGCTGTGGGTGAGAGTTGCACAGACCAGGACAAATGCTACTGGGGAGATGTTTGACCTTACCAGGGGACTAAGGGAAGATTTTCTGGAGGTGTCATGTCCAAGCTGGAATCTAAAGAATGAGTCGGAGAAACCAGGTAAAAAAAGGGAAGGAGGAGGGCTCAAAGCAGAAAACCCACCTTTGCAAGGAGCCTGGCAAAGGGGTAAAGAAAAGAAGAGAGGCAAGAGAGCAGAGGTGAGAGTGCTATAAGATACCTGGGAACACAGACAAGACCAGACTGCAGATATTCTCAGAGAGCTTTTGTTTTTACAGGAGAATAATGAACAGAAAGGAAACATTTCAAGGTCATGTGTGTGAGAGAGAGAGAGAGAGAGAGAGAGAGAGAGAGAGAGAGATTGAGACAGACAAAGACAGCCATGATGAGATCGGAGTTGGTTGTCATGCCCAGGGATTGGAGGGAGTAGGATGGCTATGGGAAACCCTATAGAAGGGGACACAGTCTAAGGAAAGAGATGATGGTGCCTAGACTCACTAGAATTTGAAAGGATTTTTCAATGGTGTGGTGTTAACGTTTAACTAATACTTGAATCTCTTCCGTATTATTTCCTACCTAGTCTCACATAGAACACATGTAACACAAGGCAATTATTCCTCTTACACATTCGCAGCAGCATACCACCTAATGTCTCAGTGCACACTCTCACCTCCACCCCTAGCCTCAGCTGCTTGCCCGTGGTTCACACTACTTCACACCCTTCCCTTTACCTACCCCAGGTGCACAGGAAGCCAGGGTTTACCTGATGTCTCTTATGGCTTCTCTGCTCCAGGTGGTAATCCCCAGTCTCCTCTGTAGGGTGGGACTTCCTAACAGCCAGTCTTCTTTCTGGGTCCACAGGGACCTAGAGAGAAAGTAGAAGAAATCTTAGTTCCTGGAAGTGATGGCTGTGCCCTGCAAACCAGCAGGGAGGGCATTTCTCAGCATTTTGATACCCCGTTCCTCAAGAGGTCTAGTGATGTCGATGGGTCTCTGACCCAGCATAGCCCTGCTCTCCCAGGCCTGTTCCTCCCCATGCAAGACCCAATCCACAGACTCACCATCTGCACAGGTGCTCCTTGTGGTTCAGAATAACCAGCTCCATTTTAGATCAGGTTCAATACCTAAAGCAGTTACAAGGGAGGAGATGCTTTGGTTTAAAGGGAAGGGTCTGGAATTCCACCTTCTTGGCCCCCTAGCCCATCCCCTTGGCGGAGATAGCACCCTGAGGCTCCTTGTCAGCACGCTTGACAAATATGGTGGGAAGACCTATTGGAATTCCCCATCCTACAGGTCCAGAGGGAGAAATAACTCTTCCCTGCCTCAGTTGCTCTATACCACAGCCCCCTGCAACATGGAGCACCCAGTTAGTAGCCCAACTCTGCCCACTTGGAGCTTCTACATCCCAGTCCCCAGATCTGGAAAATGGGTGTAGGAATCCTCCACTTAGGGAGCTATGGGGAGGGAGGTGACACATGTCAAGTGCCTTGCCTGAGATGGTGACTCAGTAGTACTCAGTAATAGACAGTAACCATTATTATTCCATAAACTCCCTCTGGTGCCTCCCCCTTTCCCTCTGCCCAGCTCACGCCTTCCTAAGAGACCCCTTTCCTCCAAGACACACACAACACACACTCTTCACACCCACTCCCTGGCCTCCTCCTTGACTCCCTGGGGGTGGACGGGAGGGTGCTGGGATGCTACTCTGGCCCCTTTCCTGTACATCCCACCTGCCAAGGAGCTGCCACCCGCCTTCCGCTCTATAAATAATAAACCAGGAATGCGAGAGAAAAATAAGTCAGAGCAGCAGAGTAAATGCCAAGAATCGAAGGCTCAGTCCTTCCCCATCTCCTCAGCCCTGGCCTCCAGAGACAGCCTTAGCCCCTCTGTTCTGGAAATGAAGCACCCCCTTCATTTCAAGCTACCCTGATGGCAGCGTTGGTCCCATGAGGCTACTGAAATTCTTCCACTTGTTATTTAACTCAGAGAATTCTAATGTGGCTTTTCCTCCCCTCTGGGCACAAGAAGGAGCCTTGGAGGAAGAGGAGGAAGAGGAACGAGATTGGTTAATTGCTCCTCTGAGTCCTGGGCCCCTTCCACCTGAGACTTTCCAGAACTAGGAGAGGTTCCTCCCCCTGGTGATGGAGCAGAGCCATCAGGTTCAGTTCAGGAGCAAGCTGTGCTCTGTCCCTGAGCTAGGACACAACTGAAGACCTTACAGTGAGGTGGCTCTGAGAGTCTTGGAGCAAACTGCCTAATTTGTAATCCACATATCAGTGTGACCTTGGGCAAATCAGCTTGCCCCTCTGTACCTCAGTTTCTTCTTTTTTTGTTGTTGTTGTTGTTGTTACTGTTATTTTGTTTTGTTTTTTGGTACTGGGGCTTGAACCTTGGGCCTCAAGCTAGGCAAGCGCTCCACCACTTGAGCCATGCCCCCAGCCCTTTTGTTTTTGTTTTTAAGATAGGGTCTCACTAACTTTCCCTGGGCCAGCCTTGAACTGATGATGATCCTCCTGCCTCTGCCTCCCAAGTAGCTGGGATTACAGATGTGTACCACCACGCCCGGCCAGTTTCTTCTCTTGTGACACGACAGTTAATAACAAAGTTATCTCATGGTAAGCATTCATCAAAGGAGTCAACTTAGAGTCCAGTGTTGGTTATATGGTACTGATAATCCAAAATCTGCTTCTCATCTGCAAATATTTCCTGACTTTATAGACAGGCCTCAGGGAACTATTTCATTAGATCAACACTGAGACTTGTGTCCAGGCACGCTGAGGTTCAAAAGGCTGTTTGGACTGTGTCTTACACCCCTGGTGAGTATTTAGCGAAGTTGGGAGCAGAAAGCCAGGGCTGTAGACCTTGTTCTCTTCGTTCTAGAGGACATGAGGCCCTGAGCTAATAGTGTTCACTGGGATAACCTCATTTTCTGTAACCAGATGCTCCTTTCTCTTCTGTTAGGACATGACATGGTGACTGAGACCTTTGTGTATTTCTCCCCTTCCAAAAAAACAAGAAAGGAAAAGTGCTAGGGAGGTAAAGTAAACAGCAATGCAGACATCCATAGCGGCGTGGTACTCATAAGAGCATTTTACAAGCATGCAAGTAACTCGTAATGGTGCATTAATCAAGATGCTGCCCCTCTACACAGCAGCAACAATAAAACAGGTAACAGGTTTGGAGCCGTTTGCCAGTGCTAACCACGACCCCACCCTTTCTTTCCCACTCAAGAGAGCACTCAGAATTCAAATGAGTGATACGTGAGGTGATGGACATGTTCACTCACTTGGTAAAATCATTTCACAGTGTATATACACATATCAAAATGTTCACCTGGACCCCATAAATCTCTACAATTGGTGCTTGCCAATTAAAAGTAAAAAATCTTAAATTTTATAAAGAAAAAAGATGAATTTGATTGAGGGAAGCTCCATTAGGGAGATTACTCTGAACCCCTCACTGTAAACTGAATGAGGAACTGCTTGCAAACATGGCCTGAGTTTGCAGTAAACATGATTGTGGTACCCATCCTACATGTGGCTGTGACTCTGGGCACGTTCTAAGAGCCACTGCCTTCTGCATCTTCCAACAATGGGGGACCCCAAAGGTCCTTCAGTCCATCTTACACCCAAGGAAGAGTCTCCTCTCAGCATACCTGGAAGGTGAACATCAAGCCCTCCAGTCTTCCCATGTGATCCCCGCTGCCTTCCACAGCAACAGTTTGTGGCGGGCTTGATGGTGGTTAAGCATCCTGGGCTTGAGGCCCTTGCTGTGTAAGGCCAGCCCAGTCCAAGTGCTGCCTCTGCAGCTGCCTGGCCTAGGACACCCATAACTTGGTCTTCTCTAGACTGCACAGTCTTAAGTTCGTTCTACTCATCTTCTAATGTGGCTTTACAGCCCTAGTTAGATGAAGACAATGATGCTAACCAGCATTTCCTGAGGTGCAGTGCTCAATTTTATGAGATGTCACCAGTGTTTCTTCAAAACTGGCATCCGTGTTCAAATAAGATTGAGAAGGACCAGGGTTGTGACTCAGGGGTACAGTGCTTGCCAAGAATACATGAGACCCTGAGTTCCACCCCCAGCACTTCAAATAACAATAGAGACAAGGATACTACGGATAAGTAATATGTGTAAAATGTACAGTATTTATAAGTAATGTGTATGATAAAATGAGGTGTACAAATTTTAGCAGATTATTGATTAATTTGTTGGAGAGAGTACACAGCTTCAGCTAAACATATTTGATAGGTTTTCTCATTTATAGAATGAGAATAATAACAACATTTACCTCAAAGTAATGCCATCAGGCACAAATGCAACCGTGCCTCAGGCTGAAACTATTATTAAGTGAGCCCAAGAGTGGCTTGAGCCTTGAGCACTGTGATGGGTGATTTCTTGTGGAAAGGCAGTCCTTTGAAGAAATGCAGGGAGAATTTTCAGGAAGTGTCCACAAGCCCTTATTGTGGTGGGGGAAGGCTGGGAGAGTCTGAAGAAACAGATGGGGGCAGAAAAAGGGAAGGGATCCCTGCCTCATCCACTTGGTCCCATATTGAGAAGACAGGACAGGTAATGGCCACTGGGTGGCAGCACAATCTAAGGAATAAGATTGGTGCCCCTTTCCCCAAGTGAACTGTATTTACCTGCCAGGCAGAGGCTCACACTGCCCTTCCTTCTAACCCTTCTCATCTGGCTGGACAGGGGGACCCTGCCAAGCACCCTGCTCCAAGGGCCTTTCCTCAATTTGCTTCCTGAAAATTTACTGTGTATGAGGTGCTTAGATACAGCCATGGACAAAGCTTCGTCTACACAGGCTGAGAGGCCTGGGACCCTCTGCCCCTTATCTCTCCTGGAGGCCGGCCAGGAGAGCACCTCATTAGCAGGAATAACTTTAAGCCATGCATTCTCAACAGGGGTGAAAAAACTTCTCAGGGATGAAAAAACTCACTTCTTTATGTATAAAGCACAAACATGCATGCAGCATATAAACAGATATCTGTGCTATGAAGGTTTCATTGGGAGGGGGGACAATTAGAAAAAAATTCTAAAAAGATCCCTTGGGGGTAATGGGGGGGAAGTGGAGAAACACTGAGCCAACAAGAGCTTACTGAAAGGCCCTGCCCCTTCAGCTCAAGCCTTCTCCTGCCAAGTATACCTATGTTGTCCTAATGTAGGTAGGAAGGAGTCTTCCCCTAGCCCCCGTCTGCTGGACCTATGGACTCTCTTCTCTTCCTCTGCATCCCCGCTCTTCTGCTGCAGGTGGGTTTTCTTGCATGAGAAGGCCTACCAAGTGCGGGACACAGCCATTGAGTCCTCAGTGGTAACCAAGGTGAAGGGCTTTGGACGCTATGCCAACAGAGTCATGGACGTATCTGATTATGTGACACCACCCCAGGTATGGTGCCTCTGCCCCAGAGACATGTGCATGCCCTCATCTGGGGAGGGTGGAGAGGAGGGACAGGACAAGGAGCATTACCCATAAGATTCCCAAACCAAAATCTATGGTGCCATGATCCAGCAGCTGGGAGCTGTGGGGGAACCCCAACCTGCCCTCCAGAATGCAGGGCTGGGCATCAGGAAGCTAGGATTCCTCCCCAAGCTCTACTATAACCCATGCTGCAATTAAGAACAGCACACCAAAGGAGTAAGAGAGACCATGAGAGTGACTGGAAAAAGCTGATTTGGATCCCACTCTTCCTTTCGTTAGCCCTGCAACTTTGGTCAAATCACTTCACTAGAGCCTGGTCAAGTAATCTGTAGAGTGGGGCTTATCATAGTCTCTGCCTCACAGATTGGGACCACTGACTTTTTTTTTCTACCTTCTCCTCTCAAGGGTACCTCTGTCTTTGTTATCATCACCAAGATGATTGTTACTGAAAACCAGATGCAGGGATTCTGCCCAGAGGTGAGAGGAGGAAAGAGAGGCTGAACAAAGCAGGTGAAGGAAAAAAAAATGCTGCAGGAGTAGGGTGGTGGTATGGTGAGCAGAGGTCCAAAGTCTAGCTTTGGAGCTGTGAATGGAACCTCTGTCCTCCAGAGGCCACCACTTTGGGAGACAGTGCTTGCTGAGGGGCTTGCCAGGGCCAGGCAGGATCCTTCATATACTATACCTGTGGCCCTGTCTCCCCACAGAACGAGGAGAAGTACCGCTGTGTTTCCGACAACCAGTGTGGGCCAGAGCGCTTCCCGGGTGGGGGTGAGTGCACCCCCTCATAACCCCAGGTGTTAGTGGGAAACTGGAGGGTAGAACCCATCCCCCCACACACAGTGAGGGAGATCCCACCCTAAGAGAGGGAGTGAGAATCAGCCTGTTCCATGTAATTCTGACTGAATTTATAGAGGCTTGCTGGTACCACAGGGGCTGTGAAAGTGGCATGGCTCCTGTCCCCAGAGCAGTTCAGTTTTGGGATGGTGGTAGTAGAAGGGGGTGGGTAAAGTGGCAAGTGATGTCAAGGAGGTACATGAGGCTGGAGGAATCTGGAGGAGGAAGCAAAATTGGTTCTGAGAGGTTGGCTCCAAATGCTTCCACTAGGTGACATTTGAAATGGACCCTGAAGATGAGCAGGATTTGGCAGGACAGAGAGGATTTAATAAAGAGCATTCCAGGCAAAAGGAATGGCTCAGGCCCAAAGGCAAGGAATAAAGAAGAAGGAGGATGGATGAGGGGCTTTGGAGAGGCTGGGGCTTGGAATTCATCAAAGGAGGGCTGTCACCTCCCTTTGGCTTGCTCTGTGTCCCAGGAGGAGATAAGAAAGTCATACAGGGCAAAACTGTCACAGGTCCACTCCCCTTCCCATGCCTGTCCTTTCCCTTCATCTGCCAGGGTTCTTGGGGTAAGGATCATCTCCTGAGGGGCGAGGGGAGGGAGTGGTAATGGGCAGGAAGCCACTAAGCCACGTGGCTCCACCCTCCCAGGGATCCTCACTGGCCGCTGCGTGAACTACAGCTCTGTGCTCCGGACCTGTGAGATCCAGGGCTGGTGCCCCACCGAGGTGGACACAGTGGAAATGTAAGGACCTAATCCAGAAGGAAGGAGAGAGGACCCCACCCTCCCTTTTGCCAATGTCCAGAGATCTGTGTCCCTGACCTTGTAGAGGATCTTATGTCTCCCTAAGTAGTGTCCTTTTCTGGGATGGGGAAGTGGTATCAGGGTATCATCTCCCCTGCTCCTCTTCTCCCTCCAACCATCATACCAAGAGAGGCTCTTCCCACCGCCAGTTTCCAGAGGGCTCTTTGTAAGAGTTGTCCACCAGGACAGGGGCCCGGGGAAGAAATTCTCCTGTCTCCCTCTCTTCATCCCAAGAACTAAGGCTTCATTCTCACCCACAGGCCTATCATGATGGAAGCTGAGAATTTCACCATTTTCATCAAGAACAGCATCCGTTTCCCTCTCTTCAACTTTGAGAAGTGAGTCTTGCCTTCCCCTACTCCTCACACTTTATTTTCTGAAGATGGAGGCACCCCATTTCCTCTGCATTTGTCCAGCTCCCTGGGGCTCCTATTCCCAGTCTCCCAGCAGGCCTGACCACGGGATATCAGGTTGACTTTGGGGTCAACTTCCCTGTCAGTCTCCTGCCTTGGGGCTTAGAACCCAACTTAAACCTAACACTGGACACAGATGTCACAGAAGTTGGAACCCAAGGAGCTCATCCAATTTCCCACATCAAGCCCCCAAGTACTGTCCCTTTTCTTTCCATTAGTTCATCCCATCCTCCCCATCCTACTTGACTCATTCACTTCACTTAGTGGGCATCCGCCATGTGCAAAGTGCAATGCCAGGTGTTGTGGGTGCATAGAGTAATTAAGAGTAACTCCTGTCCTCCAGGAGTCCCAGCCTGGTGGACATTAGACATGAATATACATAGCCCTATGGCTATAGGATGATGGGAGTCACAAAAAGTGCAGAGAAAGAGGGAAGGGAGATGATGTCTGAGAGATCTGGGCTCAGATGCCCCTGCCTCCCAAAACTGGAAGAAAATTTTTGCATCAGTGTCCTCACATTAACCCTGGGCCCTGCCTCTCTCCTCTCCTCTCCAGGGGGAACCTCCTGCCAAACCTGACAGCCAGGGACATGAAGACATGCCGTTTCCACCCTGAAAAGGCTCCTTTCTGCCCCATCTTGAGGGTAGGAGACGTGGTCAAGTTTGCCGGGCAGGATTTTGCCAAGCTGGCCCGCACGGTGAGGATCTGGCTTTTCTTCCATGACTCCTAACCTGGAAGCTCAGCCTTCCAGTTTTCAAGGCCCTTGGGAGGTCATTGGGTTGCTGGGAAAGAGCTGTGGTGGGACAGCGCCACCTGGTGGAAGCATCCCAGGCACACAACTGGCTTTGTCCGTGATTCCTTTTGTCTGCCCCAATCCTGAAGGGGCTCTTCCCATCACCTACTTCCCAAGGCTGTTTCCTATTCCCATCACCACATTTCACCTCAGGGAAAGGCCTAGATTTCTAAAAACGGGCACACAATGGGAAAGTGGATCTGTGGCCACTTTCTCCTGTTTGTGGTTCAGAGACTGAAGATTCCAAGTAGGACTCTGAGGTTCCTGGCTACAGCACTTCTTTACCAGCCATTTTCCTTCCTCCCTTCTATCCACAAAAAGGAAAGAAATCACTCATTCCAAATCCCCACCCCCTCACCCTGGCAGAGCATGTGGGAGAGCTTCTATCTGGCCCTTTTCTTCAGGGTGGAGTTCTGGGTATCAAGATCGGCTGGGTGTGTGACCTGGACAAGGCCTGGGACCAGTGCATCCCCAAATATTCCTTCACTCGACTGGATGGTGTTTCTGAGAAGAGCAGCGTCTCCCCTGGCTATAACTTCAGGTAAACCCTTGCTTTCTTGTCACGTGAGAAGAGGGCATGTGGCAGTTCCAAAGAATTTCATTCTGAGCAGCAATGTGAGTCCCCCTTCCTGCCTTCATCAGGTTTCAGCTCAAACTCATCAAGGACTTTAACTTTGAGCAATTCGTGATGGATGCCTATACCGTAAGGTAAGGTCTCCTATCACCAGAGGAGATCAGGCCAAAGATTCTGCTCAGGTCGGTAGTTAGACCAGACAGCCAAGGTCTCCCTAAATACCATAAAGCTCTAAGATCACACCCAGATAACCACCCTTCCCTATCCCGTGCCTGAATTTTTAAGCTCCTCACTCCCCAAAGTGAGGAGTCATTTTTACAAGATGGTACTTTTGTATTTCTGTCCAAAACCAGGAAATTCCATGAGTCACAAATAATAATTAATGGTCATTATTTTTTTCAGTGCTTTTTGAAAGAAAAACTTAAACCAGTCTTTAAATAGCATCCAATTTATATTCCCAATGGCTTTGAGAGACCTAAAGAATATCTTTTGGTTTTTTTTTCCACTTGGAACAAAAGGAAAGATAGGAACCACAGAGATACTATTTGGAATACCTGAGGCTCTTGAACAAGCTAGTGGCCTCCTCCTCTCCTAATTGCCTATCTGTGAAATGGCAATGGTATTAAGCTTTGGTTGTCAGTTTTGTTTTTCCCTTAATGATTGAAAATCCCAAACTTTCTGGCAGGACCATGAGTAAATACATGGCATACACTACAGAGGCTAAATAGACTAAGTAGGCAGTGATCAGGGAAAAAGTACATATAAAATATACTTGTTATATATTCAAATTGTTACTCAAATTTCCTTTGTTGTAGTGGTGTTCCCCCACTATAATGGCTGACATAATCCACCTTTTTTCACTTTAATTTGTAACTTAAAAAATAATTTCATCTGGGTGTCGGTGGCTCACACCTGCACTCCTAGCTACTCAGGAGGCAGAGATCAGGAGGATCAAGGTCAAAGCCAGCCCTGGGCAAATAGTTCAAGAGACCCTATCTTGAAAATACCCAACACAAAATAAGGCTGGTGGAGTGGCTTAAGTGGCATAGCACCTATTTAGCAAGCGTGAGATCCTGAGTTCAAAAACAAAAATACCCAACATGAAAAAGGGCTGGCAGTGTGGCTCAAGTGGTAGAGTGCCTGTCTAGCAAGTGTGAGGCCCTAAGTTCAAGCCCCAGCTCAGCCAAATAAATAATTTCCCACCCCAGTAAGCTTTAAATTTGAAGTTGCACATGGTGGCACACACCTGTAGTGCCAGCACTTAGGAGGTGCAGACTAGAGGATCCATGAGTTAAAGGCCAGTATGGCAGTGTGGGCTACACAGCGAGTTCCAGACCAGCCTCAGCTACATAGGAAGACCCTATCTCAAAAACAAAAAAAAAAAAAAGAGAGAGAGAGAAAGAAGAATAGAAAATAAATAAAATATATATGTAAGTTCTCTTACAAAAAAAAAAAGAAGAATTTTTAAAAATTGAAATTGCTTTCATAATCAACTCCAGAGTTTAAAAAACCATAGGAAACAACACATATTTTAAAGTAGGTTAAAAATACTGTTTGGCTCACTGGCAGAAATTGGCATATTTATTCAGTCAGTACATCACACTGAAATCAATACAAAGGATATCTGTATGGTGGCTTAAAAATAGTAGCACACTTTAATAAAATTCTCATAATCTAAAATGCAAGTTTTCATCCTCATAACTTCCCTCTGGCCATTGGAAATTCTTCAGTCCTCCAAATTACTCATTTGGCAGGAATGTTTATGAAGATTATAACTATTATGAAGACCCTCCAACTATTGACGTCATACAGTTTCAGAACAATGTCTTTCATTTAAAGAAGTATTTGATTGGTTTGGAGTTCTTAATTTATTGTGCAATGGTTGCCACCCCACCTAGGCACAGCAAGATATAAGAGAGGCCTTGTCCTAAATAAGCTTGGTTTGTATTTGGGGAAATAGGAAAGATGATACTCAGAGCTTGAGGGAAAACACTTGTGAGGTATAGGCCCCTAGGATCTCAAGTAACTGACTTCCACCCCAAAGTCAGAGCACAAATGAGGCAAAGCAACTCAATTGGATCCTTGTGATTGAAAAGCATTTCCAGAAGTCCCAAGAAATAATATTGCCATGGGGGAACATCTGACATCCATGCCTAGCAGAGGACTCTGCCAAACTCCCTCAAATCTGTCCACCTCGGTACCACCCCACTGCCCTCAAGCTGATTTCAAGGTAGTGGCCCCACACTGACATGCAAGGCCAAGCTGAGTGCCATGTGGGGGAGGCCACAAGGCCATCTTTCTGAATGCTCAGATAAGATAAAGGGGGCACAAAGTCAGGTTGGACACACAGTGTGATTTCCACAATATGGTAATTTTATACTACTCTTTAGGATTTCACAAAACTACTTATGAGAAGGAATGACCTTAGTTACCCTATGTTCAAAGCATTCTGTGTGTCATTCTGTGATTCAGTTCTGCCCCCCCCCCCACTCTACAAATGAGAAAATGGAGGCTCATAGAGTTAAATCAGTTTCCCAAGGTCACAGATCTAGTAATTGTGGGAGCCTAGATGCAAATATATTTTCTTGAGTGATCTCCACTCCAACCAGGAAGGCTAGGGACATTTGAATTTGTTAATCCTCAGAAAAACTTGCCTATGCCCTGCTTAAAAACAAAGAATCTGAATTCCAAGGAGGCAAAAAGACTAGCAGATGCTAGAGGCACAATTCATAGCCTGGCCTTTTGATCTCCAAAAAAACTCATTTGCCTCTCCCTCCAACACAGGCAAGATTTTTCACCATCCTATTGACACCATTTGCTCTTGAGAGAGTGGAATTAAAACAAGATTCAGCCTTGTTTTAATCTGCAAACTCAGATATCCAGAGGCCGCTAGACATTTGCATTTCCATCACTAATTACTTCTGCAGCTCCTCTCCAAATGTTGTCCCTTCTCCTACTTGCAGCTCTTTGCCTGCAGAATCTGAGATTTTGAGAATTTATAGGTGCTAAAGACCCCTTGGAGATACCTAGATTGAAGTGGTTCCTTTACAGTTGATGAAGCAAAGCTCCAAAGATGAATTGATTTGCCTAAGGTCATGGACGCCTTTTAGCTTAGCCTTAGAGATCTTTCGATACCAGCTCCTACATCAGTCTCCCTGAGTCAAGAGGCTGCTTCATAAAGTGACCTGTTTGTCATTGGCCTTCTCTAATAATTGGCAAGGTGACCCAGGTTGAGCCAAAATATGTCTTCCTTCAATCCCTACTGAATGTACATGGTCCTCTCTATCTAAATTAATCTTTGTGTGATCTCCTAAAGGTTTCTGTTCTTTTTCTATCTGAAGCTTGGTGGAGAGATTTCTGTTTTTACCCCCAGGTCAATTGTATATGGCTAAAGAGGCCAGAGAATGCTTTTAACTGTTTTTATGAAGGCTCTTTCCAAACACGTTGAGAGGGCAGTTGGTTCTGAAAATAAGAACTAGTAAGAATCACCAGTTCAGGATAATCCAATGCTGTGCAAGTGAAAGGGGCTCCAGAGGCAGAAGGCAGCATCCCGCAGGGAGTCTTAGCTATAGGCAGGGCACCTGCAGTACAGGTGGACCCTCAGTTCATGGGAGCAGGATTTTAAGCTGGGCTGAGACTGGGTGTTATGTGAGTGAGTGTGCGTGTGTGAGTTGGCAGAAGAGTGGGTGTGTTGTTAGTGGGTGAATGTGTGAGGCTGAGCGAGAGCATATCGGTGTGTGAGTGTGTCTGAGTATATACGCATTGATGGTGCAATGACAGATTAATAATACTGTATCTGTCAGGGTCTCAGCAGGAAACAGATGGCACATTCAAATTGGGTAATTTGAGGAGAGTTTAATGAAGGGACTGCTTTGAAAGTGTGGGCAGGGTGCGGGGAAACTGAGAGGATACCACAAGGCTCAGGGACAGTAACATGACAAGATGGGTCACCATACAGGTCTGAAGGGGCAAGGAAAGGAGGCAGTTGTTGGAAGCGGAGAGACACAGACCTATAAGGAAAGTGCAGCCTGATTAGAGCATGGCCCAGGCAGTCCCACCAGCAGCCACAGCAGAGACAAAGGGGCCTATGAAGCTGCCTGGAGCAGGGAGAAGCACTAATGGAGGGGCACCTGTGGTATCTAGCCCTAACAACTTTCATTTGTGCAAGTATAGCCATCTACCATCTTATGGAGGTCTCAGCCTCTTTAAGCCCCTGAGGAAAGCATGGACTGCTGCCCAAGAAAAATGCACGTATTCACAGACATAAACAATATTGCAGACAATTTATTTTTAAAAAAGATACTTTATTTCTAAAAATAGGATATAAATGCCTTCTCAGAGTAATAAATGCAAACAACATGATCCAGACAGTAATGACAGGGGCTCCCCCTCCCTCTTCTGGTCCTCCTTCCCTTGCAGGTTGCTTACATCCTAGATCTTTGGAACTCTCCTTCCAGTCCTTTTCCTGTGTGTTTACATTTTTGCAGTATAAAATTCAGGTTTCCATACACCTCTAAAAGCCTATCCCTGACCCTCAGATTAAGAGCCCCTAGAGTTAAGTCTGAAAAATCCTTTCACACCTATTTTGAACAGGATTCACAGCCTACCTCCCCACCCCCCACCCCCGCCCTGCCCACAAAGTAAACTCAGAAAGGTTTTCAGCCTTGCCTAGATGACACAGCCTAAGTAAAAGACGCATCAAAACTCAAAGCCGGGGTCTGGCTATATCCGTGGCTTCTAGCATACCTTCCACCAGCACATGGCTTGCAAATGGGGGGGAAAAAAAAAAGCTGTTAAATGCTGGGAGAGAAACAGAACAGTGTTCACAGCCATGTCTGACTTCCCATTTCTCCTCTGAGAGCTCCTAAGGCAGCTTTGCTACTAAAAGGCAATGCAGTTTTGGATTTCCTCTCTTGGTGTCTGGGACGAAAAAACACTTGTTCAGATGCTAGATGTTCCTCATGCGG